ACCGTAAGTTATTACGTATACTCAATGTGTGTGGGTGTGTGGGCGTGTATATGTGGGCGTGTATGTGTGGGCGTGTTTGTGTGTGTGTTGGCGTTACCGTGCCCGTTGCCGCCTTCTGATACTACACTAATTGTTATTCAGCTGCTTTTGCTTTCTCCACGCGTTTTTATGGCTAGTAATTATGGCGTCGTTTTTTACATGGCCAATAGCAATTCCTTGTCTCACTCTCTCTCCCACTGCTCTCACTCTCTCTTGTCTTTGCTTTCGCCCTTACCCACGCAATTTTCATTGTTCGCCGCAAAACTTTGCTCGACTTGCCATTCCCGAAAAATGTGTGTGTTTTTTTTCAACTAAAGATTGGCAAAGACAACGGTAAGCGCACACACACACAACTGCACGCACACAGACGTGCTAACTTGTTTGTTTGGCATTTGTATTGTGGCAGGCACGCACAAGACGCCTGGACACTCACCCACACGTACACACGCACACTCACACATAGAAATTGTAAGCTGTCAAATCAATAAGAACAGACAAAAGCAGCGGGCGAGCTAACGCCATCAAGTTGCGCATCTCAGTATATATTTATATGTGTGTGTGTGCTTGTGCTGTGTGTATCTGGCGGCTTTTTTGTGACTGTATGCGTAAGCGCCTTGTTATTAAATCACCTGTGGCTGACAGTTTTCATATTAGCGGGGTGCTGCAATAACAACAATCGAATCCATCTCTTTCCAACCTTTGGATGGCCGGGATATAGCCATTTTTATCTCACATTGGCTTTACTTTTGTCCATTCTTTTGTGTTGAAGCAGGATGGAGGCTATGCCTTGCCATCGCTTTTTGTCACCTTTTGTGCCTGGTGCCGACATTTGAGTGACGTAAATTAATATAGATTCACATTTCAAAATCCCGAATAAGCAAATCACAAGAAATCGCCTTCGCAACAAAGTTACTATACACACATTTGTATGGAATGATTAAACTGTAGGTAATTCGAATTCAAATTTTATTATTTTGAACATTTAATTTAAAATTTTAATTGTCAAAAATTGTAAACGTGTCTTTAAGGAGTAATATATATATTTAAGTGTATATTGAGAGAAATTGAAATTAAATTATTTAAACTTATAATCGAACAAATTGTATAAGATGTAACAAAGCCTTACCCAACAGGTTAGACACACACACACAGACAGAGTGAAAGGATGCCGACAACATGTGGACACACAGACACACATGCTCGCAGGTCAGGATTAAATTAACGCAAATTAAGCAGATTAAGCAAACGTCAGTCACATCAAGCAGCAGCAGCCGCGGCACAATGAGCAAAAGGCAAAAGCGTTGACGTTGACAACTCATACTCACACACACTCACACATATGTACAAATTGCTTCGAACAATGGCGGCGGCTAAAATTGGCAGCAACAACAAAATTGATACACAGCAAGGCACACAAACTGACGCAAGCATTCACAAGCACACACACACATAACAAAACGCGCTGTCTGGCAGAGCTTTTGTACACACACATACACACACATGCGTACGCCACCTTATAATCATGAAGCAACGCAGCACATCAGGGTGACTCATGCTAAACATTTTTATGACCCATATCACAATGTATTGCGTCTTTACAATCAAATCTTGAGTCACCCTGTTTTTTGATTGCCCGTTTAATGAGCTGGTTTGCACTGGTTCGTTCGTTTGCTTTTTGGATAACAATTTCAATTAAAGTTTTTAATAGCTCGGCGTTATATTGCATTTATTGCTCTTGCACATGCAGCATCCACATTTAAAATGGCGCCTTGGCCCATTCTCCGCCGTGCAGTGATTTAACGCGCAATTAAGCCTCTAGTTGTAGCCCGCCCACAATTTCCGCGCCACGGGTAGATGGCACCAATCCTTGCGGTTGTTTTGTCGTGGGCGCAAAGTGCAAGGTTGCCATTCATTTTGGCTTGCCAACAAAATGGGGCACGGCGGAAGGAAGCGCAGCACTAATCTCTGAGTGCGCCCTGCTTCGCATTGCATAAGTGTCAGTGTCACAGGCAGATGCGGAGACAGAAGCAGCGGCAGAGGCAGAGAGTTTCTTGTGCAAGTGTATGTATATATATGTATGTGTGTGTGTGTGTTTGATTGTGCATGGGTATGCATGTGGCTGTCACTTTGTGTGTCCTTGTTGAAACAAAACAAGGGGGCTTACGATACCAAAAAGTCGACTTAGTAATACCTCGTACTCAAAAACCATTCCATCAACTATTGAATATATATTCGGTATAGTAGAGTGTTTCTTAAAGATGAGGGCTCAAACTGTACCCTAGTGAGTTCATACACATATTTGTTTCCGTTAAAAAATACCTATATAATTTTCGTGTTCAATTATTATCGCCTAACTATTTTATATAATGTTTTTATGCAGTCGTTTTATAATACAAATTAGCTTTTATCATGCATACGCCATGTTTCCGCACACGCGACGCCCGTAAAATACTCAAGGAAATAAAACGTAGTCTATTTATTGGAGTTCGTAAATTATTCTTGTACCTACAAATATTTGCTTTAAAAGTATAAAATTAAAATTTATTTCCAGCACTTTATGCAACTAATCATTTCCATACCATACGATAATAATTTAACTACTCTTTTCAAAGTCTATAAGTACAGGGTATATAAAAGACTGATGATGGCATTTTGTTACATCCTACCTACTACCTATTTCTTTTTTTCGTTTTCCAATACAGCACCAGCACCTAGCACCTTTAGTATGCAATGAGGCAGCCAGACAAACGCATCGACAACGATCGGCAGCGCCAAGTATTAGTAATACACGAGTGTGATTAAAAAGGATGAATAGCAACAACCTGCAGCAATGGTGGGAAAACTCATATCGACGACAGCACCAACAACAGCCGACTGTCGATAGCAATATCGATAACGATAGCGCTACAACTGACCTGCACTATGCCCTACTCGAGCAAAACTTTTTTGGCGGCAATGGCGCCGATTTTGGCGGTGAATTGGCCAGCAGCCCGTCGCAAGGATTTGACTATGACAACTATGGCAATTTTACACTGATTGATCCCTATGATATTGACACAGGCGCGGATACGGAACATGCGATACCATCTTTTACCATTCTACTGCTGGCTATTAGCTATGGCCTGGTCGTCTTCGGAGGCGTTGTCGGCAATTCTACTTTGGTACTCACCCTCTGTTCAGCCTCATCGGTGCGTTTGCGAAATCCGCTGCTCCTGGCCGTATGCGTTGCCGATCTTCTAGTCACGGGCATTTCAGCGCCGGTTACGCTTCTCAATCTCGCCATGAATCGCGGCACTAGATCATTGCCACTTGCATTGTGCAAACTTATTCATTACGTTCAGGTGAGCACACATAGCTATCATCATTATTATTATTAAATTTGCAGTTTGCACTATCGATGTATCGAAATATCGTTTTTTTTTTTTTGGCAGCACCAGCTGAGCTTAACAGCAGAGTGCTAAAAGCACACTATTCAAAATGAGGACTTTTTAACGGACTTGTATTTGAATTTATTGATTTTTAATAGATTTTTTTAATAATAAGAAATTCACAGGCCGTTTCACTGAAAGCCAGCAGCAATTAAAAATTAGTTTTATTATTCAAGATGATTTTGCGCACAAAAACAAAACGATAAAGACATTAGAAAATATAATAATTTTAACAGCACCAGCTGAGTTTAACAGAAGTATTTAAAATATAAGTTGCTTACTTTTTAATTTCTATGCACTGAACAGGTCATGCCAGTGGCAGCTAGCACAATTTCATTCTTTATGCTTTCCCTGGATCGTTACGCCACCGTAAAACATCCACGTTTGGCACAGCTGCGACAGCGCCGTTATCTTCACGTCTCACTGGCTCTTCTCTCATGGATTGCCTCGGCAGCGATCAGTACGCCATTCTTGTTTGCCTATAAGATCATAGCCAAATCGGTGATAATTAAGGGCACAGGCACAACACCAAATCCAGTTAGCATCAGCTGCACATCCGAGCTGGGTGCGAATGCGATGTTCATGTCCTTCATCATCTTTCATACGATCGCGGTATTTGTGCTGCCCGGCGTTGGTGTTCTTCTCAATCATTATGGCGTACGTCGCAAGCTGTGCGCACTCTCCTTAACGGCACGAGCAGCCCATGGTGAACTGCCATTGCCCATGCCCATATTGCGTCGTCAGACGCACATGGTAATCGTGACGGGCTGTGCGAATGCACAGCAGGCGGCCTGTGGAGGAGCAACAACGGCAGATGAGACATCTAACGGCAATGGAGGCGGTCAAATGGCTATTAATCCCGGCGATATACAGCTGCATAATCTACAGCCCGGTTTGCCACCTGGCTCCAGTGCAGCACTCGAACCGGGCTCCTATCGCTCCAGTAATCCCATTTCCCCAAGGTAATCCCATGAGCTGATTAACTAGCTACCCCACAGTCAAACAAATCAAATTTTTTTCACAGAGCTATGAGAGAGATACGCGCCCATTCACAACGACAACGTATTCATCGCTTGGGTCGTGGTCCAGCCACACCTGGTATACCTCTGCCACAGACCTCGACGCTGCGTTCGCGTCGCCATTTGGCCAATATGCTGATTGCATCGGCTCTAATCTTCATCATCTGCTGGGCACCGCATGTCTTCTGCATATTCTATAAGAATTTCGGTTATAAGCAATACTGCAGCAAAACTTCCGTCTACTTCAGTCTCCTATTGGGTAAGTAAATGAGAATAAATGTTCTAAGATAAATGTTAAATGTCCGTAGAATAGTCCAATCATCCCAATTTATAGATCTATAAATTCTATAGAAAATAGAATTCAATCTATGAGAGATGAAGTAAACAAAGCATGAGATTAGTTGGGTAGAAATCCCCGGCATAGATCAGAGCTGACTTATGTTAAAAACTCCGTTTTAATGATCACCTTAATATATCGAAGTAATTTGTGCTTTAACTTTAAATAACACAAAGTAAAACAAAAAAAAAACAATGAAAGCAAAAAGTAATATTTAACAAAACTAAGAATTATGAATAAATCTGATTCGTCCAGTGTCGATTGCTTTGCCATGCTAGATCTGCCCTATGAGGAGCGCTGCGAATTTGTGAGGGAAGCGAAGAAATGTGAGCTCAACATGAACTTTGTGCCCTATCTGGATTTGTTGGCGTGCCACTTCAAGATTCGCAATCAATTCGACGAACTTGTCTATATAGCCATGCTGCTATTCCTGAGCTTAGAGCTGCTAATCTGCTTGGGCTATGTGGTGCATTACTATTATACACCAATGCTGACGGCTCTGGCGAAAATGCTTCATATGAACGAACATCTGGCGGGTGTGACAATTATCTCTATTGGCAATACGTTGCCGAAACTTTATGACAACTTGCTGGGCCTGGAGTTGCGGACGTTTCGAGCATCTCAACTTTCCACGGGTTTCCTATTGCTTTTGTTTGTCGCCGTGTCTTGTGTTGGGCTGATTTGCTATATGAGACCCTTTTGGATGAACAGCCATAGGACTGTGCGGGATCTGCTTTTCTTCATCTACGGCCTAACGCTCTTAGAATATGTCTCCATAAATGACGGCGTGATTACGTTAATTGAATATTTGCTTTTGATCTTCGTTTATTTGATCTATTTGACTATTAATGTATTGGATCTTTACATGCAGCACTTAAGCCTGAAGTGTAAGTGAATAGCTTGTAGTGAGTGCGTACTGTAATACCTCCTGAGTTCTGTTTTGCAGTCTTGAGACGAGAAATGCATGCCCGACCAACAAAAGTTCAGGCTTTACAAGAGAAGTATTACATACTTGTCCAGGACCTGCGACTGGGAACTCAATGTCGATCGTATTCCAATTCGATTCGACAAGAATTTCAGAATAGTCGCAATGAAGCCTGTGCGGGTCTGAAACTCTGCTGCCTCAAGGATTGGCAGCGGGCCAATCCACTGAAGCGCGCCTTCTACATTGCTCGTGCTCCGATTGTGCTGCTATGCGCCATCTATATACCCCTGGTGGATTACGAACGACATAGGCATGGCTGGTGCAAGCTGCTCAACTGCATGCAAATATGCCTCAATCCGACGCTTACGGTTGCCCTGATGTTTCACGATAAATCCGTGCCCTGGTATTCGTCTCCATGTGTACTTTCCTTTCTGTTGTTGACCCTTCCGTTAAGCCTGTTCGTGCTACTCCACTCGAATGCCAGAGTGGCGCCCAAGTATCATTCGGTGTTTGCCATTCTGAATCTAACTGGATGCCTGCTGATCACATACCACCTGGTCAATGAATTATCCCTGATCTTGGAGCTGATCGGCACACTGAGGCATATGCCAGCCAATGTGATAGGCGCAACTGTCGGACCCATTGCCAGTGGCCTCCCCGATCTGGTTACCAGCTTTTCGCTATGCAAACAGGGCTACGAGAGAATGGCCTATGCGGCGGCGATTGGAAGTTCGATTCTTAATATCATTTTGGGCAAGAGCGGCAATCTGATCACAGCCATGATTCTGTACTGCCTAAGTCCCAATGATGAAGTGATAAATGTTTATAGCGAAAATGCATTTATTCTGCTGCTTCTTGGTCTGCTGTCCATGCTGCTATTGATCTCGCTGTTCAAATGCAATGCACAACGTTCGTTGGGCGTTTACTCCTTGTCCATTTATTTGACATATCTTCTATTCATTGTAGTTGTTATGAAGGGGACTTTTCATATATCCACAAAAGGCTTTCTCCGCACTGATCACGAATCAGATTCTTAAAACAAAACAAATTTGTGAATGTGAAAAAGAATTTTATATTAATAAAACCCATTGAAAATGCAAATTAGGGGCATAATTGACAAAAGGAGGCGTGGCAGAGCCCATAAAGAATATCCCTTGTTTATCAGAATGACAAGCTGAGTCGACTAGTTCGTCCGCATTTTTTATCGATAAAAATCGATCAGTCGATTTGAACCCCACAAAAGATGCACAGATTTTCTACATTTCGGATTTGATCAAGTGCAAATAGAATAGAAGTTATTCAACAAATCATTCTATACTACAATATATCATTGAAAAATGTGTAATAAAGTAAATTTTCGATCGGCTTTAACATTGTCGGATAGATAACAGTTTAAATATTATTTTCAAACATTTGTAATTTTCTGTACGAAAAATTTATTTTTATTTTTTTTGTAAACAGAATACTATAGAGTCGTATAGCCAAATTGACTGTTATGGGCGAACAGGTGTACGTACCAAATCAGTTGGACCAAGAATTCGAACAGTTTTGGACCAGAGTCAGTTGCTTTAAAATGCAGCTCTTTCCATACGATCAAAGATGTGACTTTGTAAAGCGTGCAAACAGTTGCGTCTACGGTACGAATGTTGTGCCCTATATGCAGTTGATGGCCTGCGCGATGAAGTGTAGAAATCCTTTCGAGGAGTTTGTGTTTGTGACCGTGTTTCTGTGTCTCTGCTTAGAATTAGTCGTCTGCATGATCTACGTTATTCATAACTATTATGGACCGGTCTTGAAAGTGGTAGGCCGGATGATGCATATGAGCGAACATTTGGCCGGTATTACAGTAATGTCATTCGCCAATCAACTTCCGGAAATTTTCTCCCATGTGTGGGCCGTGTACGACACTGACGAGCCGGTCTTTGCCAATAAAATGGCTTTGGGTGTGTTTGTGATCATGTTTGTTGGCGGCTTAATTTGCTATATTAGTCCGTTCAAGATGACCGGCTCAACGATAGTCCGGGACTTACTTTACCTGATATTTGCCGTTACGCTGCTAGAGTATACTCTGAAAAATGACGGGGAGATAACGCTTATAGAGTGTATCATTATAACAGTTGTATATCTTTCATATCTGACAGTCAGTGTGGTCGACCTATATATGCTACGCAATACTGCAAAACGTGAGAAATATTTACCCAAACTACGGTAGAGCTTCATATTCAATTATCTCATCTCGTTGCACAGAGTTGCTGCAGAGAATAAAGACGCTAAATCAAATGGAGAGGGACAGTGTGTCGAACACTGAAACTCGTAGGATTGTCGAAGAGCGGGAATTACTGCAAAGTAAATACGATGAGCTCTCTGAAAATGGGATTGTCGATATACTGGTTATAGAACCGTCCAATATCCCGGAGAAAACTGAACCCTTTTTTAGCTACGTGACCAGACGTTCAGGGAGTCGTCGTTCCGTTCTAGTCAAACGAACCGACACGTCGGTGGCAGCTAGAGGCTTTCGGAACAAGAATCGTTTTCTCTTTCGACAGTTCCTTACTTCGATAAGGCCCATTTTTTTGGAAGATTGGATTAAAGGGAATATTGTGAAGCGTACGTTTTACATTATCCGTGCCCCAGTTGTGTTGCTGTGTGCCCTCTATATACCAATGGTGGATTACGAGAAGGAGCGGGACGGGTGGAGTAAGCTGCTGAATTGCATTCAAATATTCCTTAATCCGGCCATCACAATTGTCATTGTGTTAGCGATGGTAAATCGGGAAAAGTCCAAGCTCTGGTATCTCGACGTGCCACAATTCACAGTATACGGTGTTTACTCCATGGTTATAACTGTGCCACTGGCCATAATCGTGTTCATCCACTCGAGCAGCTTAACTCCGCCGAAATATCATAATGGATTTGTGATCATGAATTTTACTAGCTCCGTGCTGCTGGCCATGCAGTGCTCAACTGAGATATCGATGTTCATGAAGGTGATTGGCAACATCTATGAGGTGCCGATCGATTTTATGGGTGTTACTTTGGTAGCCATGACCGCCGGCTTGAATGATCTGGTCTCCAGCACATCGGTGAGCCTGCAAGGGTACGAGAAGATGGCATACGCAGCGATCATTGGCAGCACCTTCCTTACCGTTGTCATTGGATGTACCTTAATGTTTCTGTCTAGGATATTCAGTGGTGGTCATGTAGTTGAAGCAGAAGCTATGGGCAATTATGCTGAGAACGCCTATTATACGCTCTTAATAGGACTTGTGATAACTCTGCTATGGACGATGATGTTGAACTTTAATGCCAGACGCTCTGTTGGCATATTTTCGATGACTATTTATGCTTTATTTCTCTTATATGCGATGCTCATCAAGAAAGAGATTATCCACTCATTCACAAGCGATTTATTAGTTGTAGATGCTTTTTCGACCTAAAGGCAAAAATTGCTTAAGTAGATACAACAGACAACTATAATTGCTAACAAACTTGTTTATGAACATCTAATTTAATAACCAATAATAAATACTTTTTATTTAGCCAAAAAATGTACGCACAAGCATTTAAATGTCCGGTGTATACATAACTAATTCAATTCAAATATCGATGGTAACATTTATCGATAGTTAAAAGCTAGAGATGTGAATTCTGATAATTGATAATGTATATTAATGCTACTCCTTATGACTGGCACACAGGAAGAAGCCTACCTCCATTAGACTTTGAATTTCGCCGTCTAGGGGCAGGTCTGCTTAGCGCTATATATGCAACAGTTTCTAAGCTAGAGTTAATTGATGTGCTACATTTTCTATAAATTATCATAAAGTGCGCAAAAGCTCAAACAAATTGACAACGCTTTTCGAACGTTGAACTTTGAACGAGTATTAGACAGTCGATATAAACCTAAGGTTTACGTGCTTTACCAGTCACAAATATGTTTCAGACGAAACAAAACAAAAAAAAAACAGAAGCAAAACACATAAAAATATATATTTAGTTTCAACGATATATTTACATAAATATAAATTATAGGAGCATGGCGACAAAGTATCAGGAGAATTCTTTGGACAGAGAATTTGAGAATTTTTGGTCAAAAGTAAATTGTTATGCAGTGATTAATTTTCCTTATGATCAGAGATGCGAATTTGTGAGAAATGCCAATAGTTGCGTATATGGCGTGAACTTTGTGCCATATATGCAGCTATTGTCGTGCGATTTCAAATGCCAGAACCGTTTCGAGGAGCATTTGTTCGTGGGCTTCTTTATGATTCTGTCGTTTGAGCTGCTCCTCTTCATGGGATACGTGGCGAATACTTATTACTCACCAGCCTTGAAGGTGGTCTCTCGAATGTTACACATGAACGACCATTTTGCGGGAGTAACGATAATGGCATTGTGCAATACGCTCCCGGATCTGCTATTTCAGATAACGAAAGCTAGTGATAAGGAATGCGTATACACCAACGACGTTGCTGCCGCAATGTTTATGGTAATGTTCATAGGTGGACTGGTCTGCTATATGACACCATTTAAGATGCATCCATTCAATACGGTGCGCGATCTGCTCTTCCTACTTTTCGGATTAACGCTGTTGGAGTTCGAATTGGTTAATCATGATCGATTCAGCTATTCAGAGATATTCACAATGACGGTCGTCTATGTCATTTACTTGATTATCAATGTGATTGACTTATATCTGATCAAGCTTACTCTGAAAGGTGAGTTGGGCAAAAGCAATTGCTGAATATACTCTATGGTTCTCCTTCCCAGTATTAAGACGCGAATTACTCAAACTGAGCGAAATGACCGATTCACCTGAGGTTAATGCAAGAATAAAGAACTTGACAAATGAAATAATCAAACTGTCTAAAGAAGAACGCGTGAAAATCGTCAAGCGCCGCACAACACACGCGAGGCATCAGAATTTCACCTTCATGACGCACCGGCCCAATGTACATGAAAGAGTTGAAGTTAAAAAATATAGCAGCTCACGTTACCGCAGTATGAACGAGCATCTCTTTAAAGAGTTCCTCTATGCCATCAAACCCATCAATTTGGAAGATTGGCACAAGGCCAGCATGATTTTTCGGGCCTTCTATGTGGTGCGGGCTCCAGTTGTGGTCCTCTGTGCTATCTATATACCACTAGTGGACTACGAGCAACCTAAGAATGGGTGGTGCAAGCTGCTCAATTGCATCCAAATATTCCTGAATCCAGCTGTGACAATTGTAATGGGAAAATCTTTAATATTCAGAGATAAGTCTAACTTGTGGTATGCCAATATTCCAAAAGATTGTATATACGGCTTGTATTCTCTGGCAGCGACTGTGCCACTGGCTATAGTTGTATTTTGTCAATCAGATACGAGATCTCCGCCCAGATATCATTTGGCGTTCTCGATCTTAAACCTGACCGGTTCCGTCTTTGTGATATTTCAGTGCACCGCCGAATTGTGCGTAATATTCGATATGGTTGGCTATCTCTATGATATGTCACACCAGTTTATAAGCGCCACCTTAATTGCTGCTATCAATTCCCTTGGAGAACTAACAACAGTTATAGCCATGGCCTTGCATGGATACGAGCAAATGGCGTATGCAGCGACCATTGGGAGTTCGTTGTTTCTCATTCTGCTTCACTGCAGCGGTGTGATCGCTGTGAAGACAATAATGGGCCAACCGGTTACATTAGAGAGAATGACCGGAGATTATGGTGAAATACTGTATGTACTGTTCGTAATAAGTTTATTTGCGACGCTTCTATGGACATCGATGTTGAATTTTAATACGCGACGCTCAGTGGGGGTGTTCTCCATGAGTATCTATGGTCTGTACATAGTATATGCGATTTTAATTAATAAGGCAATCATCAGCCCATACAAAAAAGATGGCTTACTCTATGATGCATATACTGAAAAGTAACAGCAGAAAATTTGCACGCTGGCTCAAATATTCATATCATAATTGAGCTCCTATTTAATACATCTCTCTGGGATAAGTGACAACTGGCCAGACTGTCAAAAAGAAAGCAGTGTTGCATTCACCTGACTGACTTTTTACAAGTGGCAGCTCTGCCGCATGATATTTTTTAGTATTTTATAAGCCAAATTTTTTAGATTTGCAGATATACTGAATACATATTATATTATTCATATAAAATTTGTTTTTATACATTTCTAAACAGGCTACTTTTATTCGGCAATTAGTCCAATCATCTATTGGGCGCTAAACCATAACACGCTACGACAATCGCCTTGTGCGCCCATCATTCGCCTACGCTCCATGCAAAATTTTCTGCGTTCGCGCTTTCGATCGCATACTGTACCGGCGGCAGCATCATCGACAAACGAAGCGGCATTGGGCGCATTCAATCCCAAGTTAATAAAGCTAACACCGAAGCAGTATAGAGCGCAGGCTTCTTCGCATTATCTCTACTAGTGTGTGATACTAAACTAAACATAAATATATACATACTTACATACATATATAACTTATTTTTATCTACAAAGCCCAAAGCCCAAAGGCGATTTCCGTTCTGAAAAAAAACTCTTGATGTTTTCTTCTCTTCGCAATTAGTTGGCAAAAAGCGAGATTGCATACATAATATATACAAACATATATTAGATAAGTTAACACGACATACATACATATATGCATCCACACACACAAACATTACACAGTGAGTGCATCTCACACACACACGTTAATAGTTTTTAACGTTTATTTACAACACAAATTATAAAGCAAATTAATCGTAACAAAAGGAAAACTCATTTAGTGACTCGTTTATAATGTTGTTTAGTCTTTAAGCTGAAACTTTAAAAGAAATTACATAAATACATAATAATATTGTACCATGTTCCTTCTCATAGATAAGCAATAAGAAACGCTTTAAGCCAAGTTTAACAAGCAAATCAAACTGAACATGATCTAAAACTAAAACTAAAACAAAAACTAAAAACTAAAAACTTAAAACTAAAAACTAACTAAATCAAATCAAATATTTAACAAATCTATGTCTAAGAAACTGCAAAAATTGAAAAAAAAATTTTTTTAAATAATACATATATATATATATATATATATATATATAGCTATATATATATATATATATATATATATAGCTATATATATATATATATTGTATATAAATGTGTAAAGCATTCTTTCTACACTTTTTCTAACATTTTTAAAATTCATTCAACTGAAAGATCTGTAAATCATACGCAATAGAAAATATTTAAATTTACACAATCACAAATTTATTCTTATACCTATACTTATACTTATGTACATCGTATTTAGAAGATTTTCGTTTCATACATACTTTATGATTTGCACTCATACTTATGTATATCTTATGTAGAAGAGTTATGTTTCACTTCTTAATTTAATCTATAGATTCTCTGTCTGTTGATGTAACACAAAGTATTATTAGTAAATGTTCTATTATGTGTAGTTTGTTTTCAAAAATTAACAAAAATCCATTATAGCAAGCCGAAGGAAACAACTAAAATAAATATATATAAATATACATTGTATTTAGACAGCAAGCGAGGAGCGCACTTATCAAACTTCACTGGGTAACTGTCAAGACTTTTGTCTAATTAGCATTTGCCCGTTAACCGACTCGCGCTGTCAGCTGCGTTAACATTCTCTTAACATTGTGTAATTATGCTAAAAACACTGGCATATTCGCCAACGAAAAATCTGTCCTGTAATAGTTGATTTCGAACTATTTTCAAGATCCTCATTTAAAATTATGATTTGTGCTCAGAACTCAAATTAAAAACGAAACTAAAATGAGAATCTATAAATGCTATAAATATGCTACTACATAGCCGTTGTTTTCTTTACCAACACGAATATAATTATTTAATTATTTTACTATAATGGCAATACAGGTGAGTATTTGTTGCGTCCTTTAAGTATCTGCAGCTTTAAGCCTAAATATGGAATCCTGATCATGAACACATTGGTTACAGTTAAAAGGCTAAATTTAAAAGAAATTTAAAATACTATGTAATAAGCAAAATTTTTGTTTTAGACAAAAATATACTTGAATTTATACTTGAATTTCGTGCATATCCAATTTAAGGTAAACAGCAACTGGCCAGACAATCGAAAATAAAAGAGTGCTTCAATAAAAGAGTGCGTATGGTTGACACTTAAACTCTCCGCCGTGGAGACTTAAAAGTGGCAGCACTGCATAACGTAATTTTTAGTGTTGATTTATCGATTTTTTTTGGTTGCTGATCAAATTATCAAAAATAAAGTTGTTAGTTTAAAAAAGAGCCAATGAAAGATTTTTTCGCGGCTAAAATTAAGTTGACCTGTTTTTATTCAGAAAATAATTAAGCTGAAAGATCTATTTCTTATACACAACAGACGATATTTTGATGTACCCAAGGTATAAAGTAGCAGCTTTTCATTCTGCTGATAATGAGGACATCAAAACATCTGTTAAGCACATACACAGCTCAAAAGTAGAGTGATAAATCATTAGGTAGAACTTTACACTTTATTTGCAAATTAAATGAAGTATATTTAATTAGCTATAACATTAATTAATTCGTGACGCGCTTCGATTGCTGTGCATGCTGTTGCATTCGCTTCTCAATTTCTGGCCTAAAGTGACGAATGAGTCCTTGCACGGGCCAAGCGGCACCGTCGCCCAACGCACAAATAGTGTGTCCCTCAATCTGTTTGGATATCTCCCATAGCATGTCTATCTCAGACGGTTGGGCATCGCCTTTAACAAAGCTGCAAACAAAATAACAATTATAACTATGTATGGATTGTTAGATTTAAAAAAATTACCGCGTCATAATCTTGTTCATCCAGCCAATGCCCTCGCGACATGGAGTGCACTGGCCGCAGCTCTCGTGCTTATAAAAGGAAATCAAGCGCGCAATAGCCTTAATAACATCCGTCGACTTGTCCATCACAATGATGGCTGCTGTGCCCAGTGATGTTTGTGCCGCAATCAAGCCATCAAAATCCATAATCACATCATCACATACCTTTCGTGGTATAATGGGTGTTGACGAACCTCCAGGTATAACGCCCAATAAATTATCCCAGCCACCAATAACACCTCCACAGTGCCGTTCGATCAGCTCCTTAAGTGGTATGGACATCTCCTCTTCGACGGTGCAGGGCGTGTTCACATGACCAGAGATGTTGAAGAGCTTGGTGCCCGAATTACGAGTACGTCCAAAGCTAGCAAACCAATTTCCACCGCGACGGCAAATGGTGGGTGCCACTGCCACAGTCTCAACATTTGTCACTGTGGTGGGGCAGCCAAAGAGACCCACATCGGCGGGGAATGGCGGCTTCAAGCGTGGCTTGCCCTGCTTACCCTCGAGCGATTCAATCAGTGCTGTCTCTTCGCCGCAAATGTAAGCGCCAGCGCCACGATGCATGAATACATCAAAATTATAACCACTGCCGCAAGCGTCCTTGCCAATCAAACCAGCCTGATAGGCCTCGGCTATGGCCAGCTGCATGTTGGAGGCTTCGTTGTAGAACTCGCCGCGTATATAAATGTACGCAGCCTGTGCACCCATAGCGCGACCAGCGATCAGACAGCCCTCAACCAGCTTGTGTGGATCATGGCGCATAATCTCACGATCCTTACAAGTGCCTGGTTCACCTGTAGACGGGAAATGCATTCGAATTTAGTTACAACAATTTTTGATATATGGCTGGCCATATATTCACCCTCATCAGCATTAACAACTAGATATTTGGGACGTCCATCGCCAGGCTTATTCATAAATGACCATTTCATGCCGCTGGGAAAGCCAGCTCCACCACGTCCTCTTAATCCAGAGGTCTTGATCTCATTAATAATCCAGTCAGGTCCTTTCAATACAATCTCCTTGGTCTTGTACCAATCACCGCGCTTCTGCGCACCCTTCAACCTCCAATCATGACGTCCATAAAGATTGGTGAAGATGCGATCTTCATCAGCCAAAGGGCCGAATTTGGTTTTAGTTTGTGGTGGCGGAGTGCCTGGTGGGGGCGCTTGAGTGCTCTGCAAGCGCAACTGTAATGCGGCCGGCAGCGCTGCCGCTGCAAAATAATGCAATTTATATAAATCAATAGTAGTAGAGCAATGCGCAGTTTTGTTTTGTTGTGCGCAGAAATTACATAATTTGATTGTAACACAAATTTTATAATCTGCCAGCTGGCTGCGATTTAACTAGCAGCCGTGCCAACTTAACAAGTTATCAAATTAAACATTTACACAATAGTTAAAAGCTACAACGCTTGGGTTTATTTACCAAATTGCGGTTTTGTTAACAAATTATATCGCACAATTGCAGCCATTTTCGCTACGACACGACTGACAGCTGACAACTTGACACTTGGGCCCAGCGTTGCCACATCGTTCAGCTGTCATTCTATGAAAAGAAGTTATCGATTAATGCGCCTGAAAAGCTAAGCTGCAGCTGATCCCAACTATTATTTTCTTTGTTTATTTTATAAAAATGGCTCAAGTACCAGTCAGTAATAATACTGATGGTACCCAAACAGAAACTTTGGAGGAAACAGATAGCGCTACACCACAAGCGGAAGCTGCCCAAAGTGCACCCACATTGCTGCTGCGTCTTGAACATCCGAGAGATGAACGCCGGGTAGTCTTCCACGATGGAGTCATCGACAACGAGCATATGAATCGGATGAAATCAAAGTGTAAGTAGGACATATGTCAGGCATTATTTATATAGCAGCTTATGTACCATATATAGGCTGTTGTATATATCGTAAACCCCTGGCCTTTGGCGAAAGCTCGTCGGATGAAGATGATGAATGCGAACATTGTTTTGGTCATCCCGAAAAGCGCAAGAAAAACAGGAAACCACCAACTGATGAATCATGTCCGGTTACTGGACGTCCGGATCAACCGTCAACATCTGCTGAGGCGCAAACAGATCCAAAACCGGAGACATCAAAGCCAATCAGTGAAGAAATTTCCGCATCAGTTGCAGATTTTGAGACGACAGTGAAGCCATCCCTGTAGACCATAAAACCCAAAACAGCAACAAGAAATCCACAAAAATAATTTGATTAAGGACACAATATTTTAACAAACACGAAACAATTTGCATATGCACTCTCATTAAAAGCTAACACCAAAATGAGCAGTTTATATAATAATTGAGAGATAATATGTTTATGGACTAAATTTTGTGGATAATTCACAACTGGGGCAGCACAGGTACAGAGAGGACGCGGTAGTTGGCTTAGTTTTTGGGCTTCAGCAGAAAGGATTCGCTGACATCAAGAGGAATATTCTGTGCTTTGGCCTGAGCCTTCGAACGCCACACCTGTTTGAATGAAACAAATGATTAGATAAGCTAAGATCTTTTTCATATTTACCTTAATGGTGTAATCATCGCTGGTGGTGACTAACATCTGAGAGTCTTTTGGGTTGAATGCAACACTATTGACCACATCTGTATGCTTAAATTTGGCTAAGCTGATTCCGTAATAACGATCCCATAAATATGCGTGCTGATCCTCTGCACCGCTGGCCACATACTCCTCGCAAACATCTAGGAATATGAAAAAACATTCCGTACTGGGCGTATACGCTTTGTGAGCACGCAGCATGTTGCCCACACGCTTGAGAGTCATCAAATCGATTACATGTATATCGATCTCTTGGGCAATTGGTGGCGGCTCCAACGGATTCGTTATATTATAGTTCTTCGGCCAGGGTCGTGTGTTCACATACAAATATCGATGATCAGGGCTAAGTGCCATGCCTATGATATGTCCATGCAGATCAATTACTTTGTCCACCTGATCGAAACGATCCTTGACAGACTCATAGTCCCACCAATCGGGATCCGTGCGTGGCATCTGTTGTTGCTGCTGTTCAGCGGCTCGCTTCGCTGCGATGCGCTCTTTGAGTGTCGGTCCGGGATCTAATTTTTTGGGGAAGTAAACGTTGCGTATGCGCTTGAATCCAATTTGATGTGGCGTAAAAGTTTTCGAGCCAGTCGAAAAGATTAGGTACTTGGGCACACTGTTCTCCATTTCATCGTATTCATCAGGTAGATCCGAAACGGTCTCGTATTCCTCCTCTTCCTCATGATCAGCTTCTAGACCAGCTGCAGCTGCTGCTCGTCTGTACTCCTCTAGATAGTGGATGGTAGCATCTGAAGTGTGCCCAGGACGTGCACGAGATCTGCGCACCTGATTATGTTCGCTTATGTCTGGTAAATAGTTGTCTTCTGGCGTAGCGCTGCGTGTGCGTCGCAAGCTAAACGGATTTCCACTGGCCAATGAGGCAGACACGGATGCGGAGGCGGAGGCGGATGTAGAGGGCTCATCAGTAGAGGAAGCAGTAGAAGAAACAGCAGCGGGTATCATTTGCTTTTGCCGTGCCAGCGGATCATTGGTGTCATCTAACCAAGGGCATCTGGCCACCATTATAGCTCGTACAGAGCTTGCATTGCGATTGTAGAACTTATACATCTGGCTCATAATTGGCACATGCTCCGAGTCGATCTCCTGATTGGCTTTATTCAACCACAGTACCGAGGTGCTGACCAAATGTGCAAGCCAATGTAAATCACCCGATAGCAAATACTGATCACTAAACCAGGTGCCAAAGATGTCATATGGCCTATTGACGACTCGGCAGCGCAAATGAGATTCCGTAGCGCCCAAATAGAAGACAGCAATCTCACCAGAAGTGCTCTGTGGTGAACCGAAATGTACGCCCGAAACCAAGAGCAAGGTGTCGCTCTGATTAAACTGCGAATATTGTGTATACTTCCAGCTAAATTGTTTCATATTGTGTGCATATTTTTCTACAAATGGGAAAAAGTGTGTGTGTGTGTGTGTTAGTGGCCTCTATATAGCTAAGCTTAGCTTAACCCGATTGCCTCACCTGTGCATGGATGCTGTGCATTCCATATAATAACATAACCATCTTTGGAGCAGGTGGCAAACATTTCGCCATTGTGCGCAAAGCTGACATGCAACACCTGGTGAGTGTGACCGTGATTAAATTCCACGCTCGGCTCCAAACGCTGAGCCTGCACAAAGGGAATTTCTGTGCTTAGACGTTGGTACTCAGTGCGCCAACTGGTGGCGCCTGGCTTAAGCGGTATAGTGGGCGAAGATCGGAAATGTTGCTGAAACTTCTGACGCCATAGCAAGTCGTCATTCGAAATCGAATTCCAACGACGGCAGGCTAAGCCCGCCTGCAACATGTCCTGTACACTAAGACGTGTAAAAATCTGCAACAGAGCTGGTTCGGGCAGTGCCCACCAGCCAAAATCATTCACATCATTCTCGTCGTCAGCACCAACAGCAGCAGCACTAGTAGCAGATGTGTTTGCATTAGAGCCCAATCGGGCCTTTTTGAAGGTCAGTTCCATTTTAGAGTAAAAAAAAAAATATTTAGCCGTAGCCCAGTTTCATATAACTTCTAATTACTGGGGTTCCCCAATAACTGCAACAGTTTAAACGTAATAACTGGTTTTATATTTGTTTTTCTTTTTTTACTTTGTCTTTGTTATTTGTTATTGGTATATCCGAATTTAACGTTAATGAAAATGAAAATAACTTTCTCCGTTGCGTTTTTGTTATTGTTGTTGCAGAGTAAAAAAAAACAGCTGCCAAGAGCAAGTGCTCATCTCTAGATATGACAGCTGTTTTCGTTTGTTATCGAAATCGAAATATTTAAATCTACAAAAACAATAACAACTGTTTGCCAAACAAAATGCCAGCAATGTTCCGCTTGCAATGCGTAAAAAGGTGCATAATACAATTACGGTTTTGTTTTTCATTTAAATATAATTGTAAGAACATTTTTTTTTTAGCGTGTTGCATATAGTGCGCAACTATAGTCTGAAACCACAGAAGAATGCAGTGGTTATTGCGGCTGCTGTGCGTACACCCAATTCCTTAGAGTATGGCGAAGAAGATCAATTGGCTGGCCTGGTCATTGATGAACTGGTGAAACGCACATCTGTGCCAAGAGATGAATTTAAGAAGCTGATCATTTGCACATCCAGTAAAATTGTTAACGAATCATTGGGCAGCGTCGCCAAGACGCTGGGACTAAAAAGTTGTCAGACTCATGCCATAAAAAACGAGGCGTGCTCCGTCAGTGGACTACAAATGTCGCTGGAATGCTTGCAGAAGGATGAAGCTTGTTGGATAATATTAGGTGATACACGCGCAAACATTAGACAAGTAGAACAAGAAGATATAATACACAGCGAACTTATAACAGCTGGTATTCCACATACAAAAGCCGAAGATAAAGTGCCATCATCAGCAGAATGCCCAGGCGCTGCTGCTGTTGCCTTAACTACGGCTAAAACAGCGGAGCGACTGCAATTGCAGCCGCTAGCAGTTGTGCGCGAATTCTTTATGGAACGAGACAATGAACACGCGATCTTCCGTTTGACCGGCAGTCAGCCAATACAGCTAACGGACGTCCATAGCTGGCAGCTGGTTATCAATAAGGAATTGAAAAAGCAGTTGGGCATGCTAGGAGAGCTGAATGTGAACGAAGTGCGTATTCATGACTTTAGACAGATGACCGCTAGCCATTTATTGACGCACACAGTTCATGCTCTGCCCGCTGGCAGTCTCGGCTGTGTCATCATGGAAGCCGGTGATGGGCGATGTGTGCTAATGGTTCTCGAGAAAATGTAAATGTTTATGCTTTTTTAGCAATTCAATTTTAATTGAATGTAAATATTTTATTTCTTAGCATACCTGAACCGAATCTACCCGAGAGTTTGCCACAGCTAACGCTCTACACTAAGGAGCCTTGTCCGCTTTGTGATGATCTGGTCCAGAAGCTAGAGAAAAATTTTGCGGGCGAATTTGAACTGAAAAAAGTGTTTATCGACCGTAAAGAGAACGTGCGCTATTTGCGGCTGTTCCGCTATGATATACCCGTTCTATTTTTAAATGGGCAATTTCTTTGCATGCACAGTCTCAATGAACAAGTGCTGCGTGAAAGATTAGATGCCATGAAGGCCATCGGAGTTGAGCAAAAATAGACATAGCATATAAAGGAAGCATACAGTTGATAATTATATGTTATTGATTCGTATTTATATTTTTGATAAATCAAATTCCAAGTTTAGCTTAAAAAAGTTCACCCATTGGCTTAATAGTTAATTCGTGTATCTGAAAACTTTAATTCATTAATTTTCAATTGAAATAAAATGGTAATGCACTAACCTGCACATGCTGAGGTGTGCTAAGTGCATAGATAACCGCATCTGCTATATTTGAGGGCTCTAGTCTCGCCATATCCTTGACATAGAAATGTATTTCCTCGGGAAATATATTCGTATTGACTGCTCCAGGGCAAATCCCTGTGACTCGCACTTTGCTCTTGTGTAGCTGAAACTCCTGACGATACGTTTCCGTCAAAGCTGTTACGGCAAACTTTGTAGCTGGATAAATGTTAAACGATGGCAATACATCGATGAAATTCAACACTTGCTGGCCCGCAATGCTGTTGATTATCACCACATGTCCCTCCACATCGCGCTTTAACATATTGTTAAAGGCAGCCCGTGTACACCAAATAACGCCCATGACATTGGTGTCGATGACCTCTTTCAGCTTTTTCGTATTTCCCGGCGTCACAAGCTCCGTCTCACGGGTTATGCCCGCGTTGTTTAGAAGGATATCCGGACCTTCGAGTTCACGTTCGATCCAATCAAATGTGCTTTCGACCTGCTCCTCCTTGGATATATCGCAATGTCTTAGTATAAAGTTTTTCTGCAAGTCTCTTGGGAGACTCTCCTTAAGCTCCTTTAACTTAGCCTCGCGTCTAGCCAACCCGACGACACGCAATCCAGCGCCAATCATGGCACGGGCACAGGCAGCTCCAATGCCGCCACTAGCACCGGTAACAACAGCCAGCTTGTTGTGCCAACGCTCCATGATGTAATGAAAGCGAATTGTTTAAGTCAGCTTTGCACTTGTCTATGCTGCACTTGAAGAGCTTCATCAGTATTAGCATTTGCTACTTCAATGTAGGCTAATCCCTTTAGGGCTATAGTAAAATCTTAAATTATGGTAAAAGTAATAAAATTTTAATTTTTGTTTTCCTTTATTTTTAAGGTCTATATGGTCTATATGCGTGCTTATAACTTTTTCATATACTTAATATTTTTCTATAATAAACTTATTTCTTATAAGTACATTAACTTTTTTTTTATAATATTCTATAGACTCTAAAGTGCCTTCAGCATACAAATGCTTCGATTATATATAATGACTATATATTTATAAATTCTATTTATAACATATAAATATATATGTGTTCAGAGTAGACCAAACAAATTGTCACTTTCCTGCCAAGCATATTTGATCTTAGTTATTGACTACATGCATGTTATGTACTTAAATATTAAAGACATTTTAATTATTTACATTGTACCCTAACACAATTATAATATATATATATATATATATATATATATATATATATATATATATATATATATGTTTCTATAGTATTTAAATAACCTGAATTTCAGTCTATGATCGCTTCAATTGTACTTTCTCATATTTGAATAATATTTCGCTTATCTTTTCTCTTGCCTCTAAATTGAGATCCGCATCGAGTTTATCCAAGCATTGGCCAACATATTTGCTATAGTAATACGAACGCGATTCTTCGCCCTTATTGATCTGACTTATCGCACTCGTAGCTAATCTATTCACATTGTTAGGTATGCTATGCGGCAAAGTATTGTCTGGACCGTCTGTTAACTCTGGGATTCTTTTGCGTTTTGTTTGCGGAGAGCCTGGTGGGGATTGATGCAGTTCATCCAGATTGGCATTCGATTGATTACAATCATTTTCCTGAGGCTCCTGAGTTGAAGCTTCCATTTCCGATTCGCCATTTGAATCAGATAAGCTGGTCGTTGTATCAAACACCTAAAAATATATGTCAGTGAGACAATTATAAATGTAAGCTTATTTTGTTTATTACCGATTGTTCGCTATTGTTAAACGTATTTACAGCTATTTGAGGCAAGCGGGTGCCAATCAAAAAGCTCATCTTCGAGCTATACTTCCAGCCGCCGCTGATATTATCATCGCCATCCGAAGTGCCACCGTTATTTTTGATCTTAACGGACTTCACTTCTGCTTGGAAATAAGTACGTAGATTGTTCCATTTCTTGAAACAATCATCTGGTGATAAACACAATAAAATAATTGAGCAAATTCGAATACAAAAAAATCTTGAATATTTAACGAACTTCTTGTAAATTGTGTTCTCGGATGTAGGGCGTTATTTATTTTGTCCGCAGCAAGTTCCCAAAATAATGCCTTCTTATGCTTTTTTTTAAAATCAGGCACAGAACTATTCCATACATATGAATTGCTTTTAACCAAATCAATTAGATAATTGACTTCTGCTTCGCGCCAATTGACCATTCTTTGACCTAAAATATTCAAATTATATGTAGTGTGCTAAAATTGATATGTAAAAATGTACTAAAAAATCTCTGGCAACAAAAATACCACAACAAATATATGCATCTTCTAATTAGTAAATGCCTTAGAAAAAACACTCTGTCTGAGATTTTTTAATCAAAAGTACTCAGAATATTTGATCTTACCTCTATGAAATCTGTAAAAGTCAATATTGTTAATAAGTTTATATACAAAATAGAGAGCTTGGCACTGCTTACGGTTTTGGATGATGTTCCTTTTGTTGGTTCTGTTCCCACTGCAATTCCATTTTCTCTAAAATATTAATATCTGACATCTCATCTTGCTCTATCTTGACAAGTCCAATATCAATATCACCAGGAACCGGTTGTTTTATGTTGTACGAAGCTTTGTTGTTCTCCATTTGTTCCTAGTCGCAATTCTCGTTCCAAGCTTTACAGCATCGAATATTTACGGCTTAATCTATGATTTAACATCAGGAAGCGAGTTCCTGTTGTATTTCTTCTGCCCAGATAACAAGCATACATAAAAAGAATAAAGACACCAAAGCCATAACTTTCAGTGTTCAATAAAAAAATTAAATACACAAAGTTCTGGCTACACAAATAATTTTACTTTGGCTGACGGAGATGCCAACTTGTTTAGTATCATATGAAAAATAGCTGCAGCAATTCAAATATATTATAAAAGCTTTTTAATGAATTAATATGTATTATAATCTCACATGATTGAAACTATGTTAACAAAGTATATATAAACAAATAGAAATTATTCTTTTAAGCATTTAAGTGCATATGTGAATATACAAACTTGCATTATAAAAATATCGCATATATTCTATCGCCCAACCTCCACAAATTATAAGTAATTCCATCTACAAAACTCTCAGGCTTAACGCAGGTGTTTAAATTTTTGTAGAATTAGTGCCTAAAACAAATACTTAAGTAAATTTATAACAACAGCTTAGAGCGCAAATACAAAATGGCACAAATGGATATGGAATTGAAGAAGGTAAGTGGCTAAGGAAGTTAAATAAAACCAATCAACTGCCGGTTGGCAGCGCGTGGTGCACAAAAAATACACTCATTCGTGCCCTAACCCAACCCCTTAAATAGGCCTTCACTGAAATGCAAATAAATAAATTGGAAACAACGAAAAAAATAAGCATGATTGACATGAAATGCGACATGGTAAAGACAGGCAAACAAAAATATTCGCTAACAGAGAAAAGCACCAGCAATCTAACAGACGACACCAGGTGAGATAGAGAATTGGAGCTGAGTATCTAAACTAATATAAAATGTATTTTAACAGGGTCTACATGTCGGTGGGTCGCATGTTTCTGTTAACTGATTTGGACAGTATGCGCGGTGAGCTGAAGACCAAGCAGGATAAATGTGATAAGGCCATTGAATTGCTCGAAAAGAAAAAGGAATTTTTGCAAAAGTCGCTTAAAGATCAGGAGGATGGACTACGTGAGCTGGTGCAGCAGCGCAAGGAGGCGGACGCACCAACCAAATAAAAAACACAAACACACTCACAATTTCAATTTTTACAGTCCATGATCAAGCATGTGTTATTTATTTACAATATAATGGTCAAAATTAAAGTTAGCATAACTAACAAATTCATTGCCCAAATTTCGTTCATGCTCCGGTCGAAATTCACACTTGTGCAGAGGCAAACAAGCCAGCAGCCAAGGCTCAACCACTTCACCGGAACAGAAGACCAATTTGGATGCGCTGTTACGCAGTAAATTAAGTATAATCTGCGACATCTTAGTCATGCACTCCTCGGATAGAAACGGTGGATCAGCAATGATTAAATCGTAGCATTTGTGATGATCGACTAAGTAATCTGCGCTAACTTCATTGAAATCATAATGTACAAAATCAGTGCCATAGGCAGCGAACCGTTGATCGTACTCAAAGATGTTAACTGAAAGTGCAGTTCTATATATATACTCAAACCATACTTTATCAAATCTGTTAGACTCTACCTTGTGCATGAATATCCTTTATAGTAGCATAAAGCGATGGACAGGATAATAAAGCTATTCGAAAGTCCGGCATATTGTGTTCCTTAACAATTTTAGCTACTGCAGCGCCGATAGCACTTTTTGTTTTCCCACTGTACCAAAATTGACTAAGTTGCTGTAAGAATTTAAGTAAGCATTAACATACAAAAATCTTGGGTTGTCTCTTTACCCAATCCTCCTCGAAATGTGCATCCTTTCCGGTTTTGTTTATCATGCGCTGCTCCTCATCATGTTCGCGTTGTGTACGTTCTGCTAGGAACTCATTCAGTATAGCTAATGTATCTGCAGGTAGTGTTATGTCATCATGGTCCATAGTTAAAGATTATTAAACCTTAAATCCATTAATAATAAAAAAATACAAATGCAGTTGCTGCTTAGCAATGTGCTTAAACTGTATGTACACACTAGTTGGGTAAAACCAAAACAAACAATGTGTACACTGGTTAATCATCGATACGCTCGTCCGTCTGCCATAAGTATTTATCGATAGATCATATCGCAATTCCGTGTCGACACATTTATTTTATTTAATTTAATTTCGTATAGTTAAAGAACGCTGTGCGTCAGCTGCTTTTTACGGGTAAGTTTGTATTGAGCATTCAGCAACAACTTGTGTGTGCAAAATACGTGAAAAAGTTCGTTTCTTTTTTAACTTTCGCAAGAAATTTTACAACTGCAGCAGCGTTCGCGGTAGATTCTATTCATTGGTGTTAGTGAGAAAGGGGCTCCCAAAAAAATAAGAAAAAAGTACGCCAGCTGCAATGGTTAATAACCCAATTTTCCCATGATGCATATAGATGTGTATATGCATATAGATGTGTTGATTATTTATTTATGTGCTGCAGAGAATGTGCAGGTCGCTGCTCTGACTGCCTACGTACTTTAGCTTAGCTGTGCTTTGCCGGCTGTTGCTACGTGTTGCCCAAATAAAAAAATCGGAAGTAACCAATTTGAGGCTGTGTTTTGTGCGCCTTTTTTCAAGTGCCTATGTCAAAGCAAGTGCACTTTGAAATAACTTTTGAGTTATGCTGTGTCATTCGATGCTAATATCAAAGTTTAGAAAGAGCACAACTGAAGTCAATCAGCACAATCAAATGTCACATACACATTCATAAAAGCGCGTACCTTGTTCCCCAATTTCTCTCTGTGTGTGTGTTCATGTGTGTTGAGTGTCTGTCACTGACGTGTTCCTCGTGGTGCCAACATGTGACGTCATTTATTTATGCATATTTACATATATTTCACTGTGTTCCACTTGACTTCACCGTCAATTATAATATTGATAATAAATTTCAGTTTTTGACTGACCTCATTTCATAAATTTTTCATATCAAATGAATAATTATCTAGCGCTTAACTTGACCTAGTTTCCTGCCCATTATTGTTTTTTAAAAAAGGACATCATTTACTAAAATCAATATTTGTACTCTACCCATCAAGGTGAATATCAACTTATTGGCCCTTAATGACCAGCTGGTGTCAATAACGTTTCAAATCACCTGCACAACATTACCAGCATTGTTGTTCAAACTAATAGAAAACGGCTAGTTTGCTTATGGCTAAATTTGTTCGACTTTTTAGTATAGCTGAAATGTGCGTAAGATTGGTATTTTGCTATCAGCTGTTAGCTCTTAATGTCACGCTAAAATAGCTAGCTGTGCAAATTTAGTTAGACTTTGGTTGGATTTGTGAAGTAATAAATAGCTAGAATTTGTTTTGCTTTTTAATAAAAAATAGCTAAAACGGGCTCAGCTCGACTCTTTGAAATTAATTTTACATGCTAAAACAGCTACCTAATTAACAAAATTAAGCTTATATTGAAAGTAAACATTTTTTTGGTTTTGCTGAATGTATTGAAAAAAGAAAGTGAAACAACAATTTAACGACTAAGATATGCTAAACACATTACAAACATTTAAGTATTTAAATCGTTTGCTGAGGGAATTGTCTCTTGTGTTTCCTTAAGCAACATTTTATGAAATTAAAGAAATAGATGGTGTGTTTGATATATGAAGTCTAATGACTTTAAAAAGAGCCAAAAGCAAAAAAAAGCCATATTCAGTCAACACTAATAATTTCAACATTTTTCCGCCAGTTTTCATGCACGTTTCCTGCCCACGTTACGCCGTCGCACTTTTCAGTGCACTCTCAATATCTCAGCCCCTCTCTCTCGCTCTCTTTCTGCTTTGACGCCCCCTCTCGGAGTGTTGTTTGCCTGCCACCTGTTTGGCCTTTACATATGTGTGCGTGTGTTTTGTTATTTTGACGTGTATTTCGTAACGACATGCACATTGCGGTTACTCTGTTGTCAGAGGTTTGGACATCAACTCAGTCCGCTTTGTTAGTCGCTGAAGTTTAGCTGGAAAACGTACGTTCATATCGTAAACTTAAACAATTGTTTTTTGTTTTATTTTTTAGTTTCACTTAGTCTTATTTAATTGCTGTGCATCATTAAATCTTTGAACTAAGACGATTCAACAGCTTTCATATAATAGAAATTGAAGCAAAAGTTCATGTGTGACTTATGCACATTACTATATAGACAAGACAGGTTACGTTTGTTGTTTCAATTGGCATGTTTTTTTATTTTTGCTGTGACAAAACTTGACCATAACTGCACTTAAGCTGTCTGCCTTTTGCTTCAGAGCCAAGCATTAACGCCACTTTGGCAACGCTGAACACGCCTTCAACATTAAGTGTCTGTGTGTGTGTGTTTAACTTTCCATTCAACTGGTTTCTTTTTGGTTTTACGACACAATACTTTTGCCTATGTAAATTACAATTAAAAGCGCGTACCATTAATACATAAAAAAACCCTACCGAACTCTAAACAATGCAGAACAGTTTGGCTGTAGCTGCCTAAGCTTAAATATACTGCAATTAAATTTGATGAGTAACTGTTTCGAACAATTGCCAGATAGTTAATTATTTTCGAAATAGTTAAAGACTGGACTTCTTTGCCGGAATCAATTAAAACCGAGTAGTAAAAAAAATTGTTATAATTTTATAATAATCTTTGATTGCTTTGTATGCCATAAAACGATGGAAAATGTTAAATCCGTTTACTAGAAAGGGTTTTATGAAAATGCAGGAGAAGACGTAGCCGAATCTACAAAGTAACCCTTATAAAGTATTGCTTGCTATCTGAACAGCAACATTCTTAGCTGTAGATTTTATATCCCATAAAAAGTATATTAAATATTATAAAATGCAAAACTCTAGTGATTCCTAACACAGGCTAAACGTTTTATTTATTGAACCTACCTCGCAATATTAGATTAATATTATACACTTATCATGAGACTGCGATACACGCAAGTCAATTATATACAGTAGCGTTTAATTAACAAATTATAAATGTATATATATCTATATATATATATATATATATATATATATATATATATATATATATATATATATATTTGTAACTCTGAATAAAACTTCAACTTTTGTGTTCTTTATGAAATTCTTGAGCTATATCAATATGTTATTTCAGCAAATATATACATGTATATATACATATGTCTGTGTATGTATATATCTACCATTTGTATGGTCTGGGGCACATACATGACGTTTATCAGGGCGACGATTAGACGTTGATAAGCAGCGGCACTGTTTGCCGTAAGACTGAATGATAAGGTCTCATTCTAATGGTCTTTGCTTTAATTTTACACTTGCAGACAAAACTCTAGGTTACAGAATATAACAGAACGGAACACTGACTGCAATCATAATGAGTGCGACTACTGAACAGCAGAAACAGCCGGGCTCTGACAACGCTCAAGGCGATGCACAGCCTAGCTCATCATCCACAACACAGCCACAAGGACAACAGGAACAACCACAACAGCCACCGCAACAATCCTCACAAAATACACCAGCGAAGCTACTGCATCACTTTCAGACAAATCGCATCGACTCAGCGCTGTGGGCGCTACGTCTGCTTGTTATCTTCTTTACCGTTAGCTATGTGTTGCCCATATTCACGTGAGTATATATAACTTTAACAACTATGTGAAGCTCATGTGTTTATCCAATTTTCGTATAACAGAGATTCAATTGAAGTCATTAGAAGTGTATAGAAAGGCTGCATAAAAAAGAGTCAGAGAGCGAGGGTTGCAAGAATTAGAAATAATATTAAGAAACGAATGAACAAAATTAAAGAGCGACAGATAAAGATAACAAATAAAAGTAGAATTGAATACCTAGCTGTGAAGTGTTTTAAGAGACATTCGATTTCAGTTTAAACCTGGAAAGATGATTGAAAGTAAATGAAGTTATGGAGGTATAGTAAAAGAAAGCCACAAGAATAGTAACATTTCAGTTAGCATTAGAAAGATAAATATGTTGAGTGAGAGATAGGAGAGAAAAGTAATTGAGATTGGAAATTCTGGAAATAATAGATTCAAAAAGAGGAAGAGACCTAGTGATAGTAGTATGATTAGATAAAAAATATAATCAAACTACACTCTTGTAAACATAGGTGGGGAGAGGAATGTGTAAACTTTATTTCCACAGTTGGACGTACTGCCCGATATATAATATATACTCTAATTCTGTACTCTTTCTTATATCTCCACTAACAGCTCACAGCAGAGCTCTTTCAACAAGGTTCTGCTAGCAAATGCAGCCATCTCGGCGCTGCGCTTGCATCAGCGTGTACCCGCCTTCTCGTTCAGTCGCGAATTCTTGGCCCGTTTATTTGCTGAAGACTCGTGTCATTATATGATGTATTCGTTGATCTTCTTTAGCATTCGTCCCACTCTGTTGGTGCTCATACCCGTTGCACTCTACTCTGTGCTGCATGCGGCCAGCTACTCGCTCAAGCTATTGGACGTGAGTATATTTGGCTATAACTACTTCAGCAGCATTTCACATAAATCGTACTTTTGCCTTTCAGCTAATTGGTCAGAATTCTTGGTGGGGCGCACGTTTCATTATCTCAATTGTAGAATTCCAGGCAGCCAATATACTAAAGGCCACCGCATTCTGCGAGATTTTCATTATGCCTTATGCCATTGTGCTGACCTTTATGTGAGTTGACTGGTTGACTGATTATATACATATATATATAATGCGGATGAAGACTTGAATCAATAAGACCTAAATCGAAATCGTAAATTGAATTGACAAAGTTTTATACAATTTTAATTGTGTATTTGATGCGGCTTTAAATTGATTCAAAAGTCGTCTGCAGCATGTATATATACATATATCTTATTATATATTTTGCTAATCTTTTTACTTATCTCTTGCAACAGGGCCCACGCTGGTTTGATGACTCCGATCATCTACTATCACTATCTGGTTATGCGTTATAGCTCGCGTCGCAATCCCTATCCGCGCACCGCTTTTGCTGAGCTGCGCATTACCTTTGAGGCGCTTGCATCTCGCTCTCCGGCCCCCATTGGCAAGATCATTCGTGGTGGCATTGGATTCGTGAGTCGCCTGGCACCACAGCCACAGCCAGCGCCAGCGCAGTAGAGCCCAAAAAATATAAACAAAAAACAAAATACAAAAAAAAACAACAATCAAAGGGACAAGCAAACAGCAACAATACATCATAAGCTAGCTAAGTCTTTAAACACACACCCACACACACACAACTTCACAGAGTGTAGGTTCCATCCATTTCATTTCGTTTGTTTTTATACAATTTACCAAATTCGTGATGAACGATTTGTTCAATATCAAATTCTCTAGTATAGTTAAGACATTTTTATTTTGGCAAAATTTCCCTATTTGGCTAAATTATTAATTGTTGTTTTTCTTCTTCTTTATTATAATGTTGTAATTATTCATGTGCATCGATTTAAAAATTTATTTTGCTTGTGTATTATTAACGTTAGTTGAAATTTTTATAAACGATTTACAATTTAGCTTGAAAACACCACAAAGAGAAAACACGTAATTATGAGAGAGGATTACGAATACAACATAACTAAATCTAGATATATATATATGTTTATAAATATATATATTTTTTAAGATATGAACAGAAGATCAAGCAAGTTGCAAATTCAATAATAATAATAATAAAAAAAATGTTCACCAGATGACAGCTGCGGTTTTTTGTATTAATATAAATATTTAATAATATATGCATACATTTTATTATAGTTTTCTATCAGGTGTGTGTGCGTGTCTCTGTGCAGGTGTTAGGCAGCTATTTATCAAAAGTCTAGTTAGCATATATATATATATATAAATATATATTCTGTATCAAGATCATTGAACCAAGTTTGCATTTGGACAAGATCTTGGAAAACCTACCTTATTTTGACATACAAAAATGGATTAAAAACTAAATCTAAATCTTTGAATTAAACAATGTAGTTTTTAAATATTATAAGTTCACCAATCAAGGTCTTTCATGTAAGTTGGAAAAAGTTTTATATTTGGTTTAAATTTTAAATTTCTTTATAATTGTATGTGTTAATTTTTCCGACTCAGTTCGCCAAAGTTAATGACAGGAATACTATTTTTTTAAAAACTAAGCCACAAAGTATGCTACAGTATTCCCCAACATTGGTTCCCATTTCCTTATGCTACACATCGAAGTTTAAAGTTTTTGGTGGCAAAATTGATCTAAATTCAAAATAAAGAAACCAAAATATATTTATATATATATATTTCTATATTTCTATTATGTCAGAAAACAATTTGTTCTGTTTCGTCTTAAATTGATTTCAAAACTATGTTCAAATTTACTTAAGAAAACTGAGGTATATTTTATTAAATACTCTAGAAATACACAAAATGCTGAGGCTTTACGGAGGCGCTTTGAATATCAAGAACTAATAAGGCAAAAGTTTTGCCGAGTAAGCTAATATAGAGTTGCCTAGTAGTTACCCTGCAAAACATTGAAAACAACAGAGATATTCGAAATGATTGGAGTACATGCATGAAAGTATGTGGAAAACTTACGAAAGGTAAGATGGATACGGAGTCAAACCAACAAAGGGTGGCCAGCAGATGCCCTGTAAAACACTAAAAATGAAATAAAACAAATAGAATGAAAATGAATACCACAAGCAAGTAAAGCTGCTGGAAATTGAAGCAGTTTTCCCTACACATACGAAGCCATGAGCATAAAAGGAAAGGCTGAGTATCAATGAATTTGTTTTTATTGCAAATGGGCGTAGGCTTAGGCTTTTCCCCATAAGTAAATTAACCAATTTATGTGCGAGTGTGTGTGGGTGTGTGGATGTGTGTGTTATTTCAACCACCAAGGCGGGCAGTCAGCCAGCCAGCATATATCTGTTACATGAGCTCCACTTGCGAGAGCTTCAGCAAATGTATTTTGCTTCCGATTTTTCCAGCAAGTTCAATGAACTTCAACGAACGCTTTTCTTGTGCTGCGCCAAAAAAGCAAAGAAAAACCGAGAACTTTTCGAGCAGGTTGAGAGCGGGTGGAGCGGCACACACACAAGACTCACTTTCGTTTGTGGTGAGTGTGCAGGGAAATTTGTGCTTGGGTGTGGTGTGGCGGCGGGCTGTGGTGCGATGCTGTCTTCAATGTGTCCATTCAAAAAGTGAGACCGGCAATGCTTCCCCTTTTGCCTAGCCCCAGTCTCGGCAGCCCCTGCTCTCGCTCAGCTAGTTCATTTAGCTGGCGCTGACGCTTTCATGGGGTTCTTGAACTTTCCCTTTTTGGCCACAGATTCGCAGCGTTTGTTTTTCTTTTTCGGCGCTTTACGAAACCAAAACACACACTCGACACCCAAGAATTTCTGAACAAAGATTGTATTACCTTGCAATGTATTCTGGCTTTTTCTTGTTCATCGCTGATCAAGTTTTTGATGTGTTTTCTTTGGGGGGAAATAGTTTTTGAATTTATTTTTATATTTCCTTTCCTTTTTTGTTTTGCTTCAAATTGATTTGTTGCTTCCCTTGTCTAACTGATCGATTCTTAAGTATTTTTTTTACAATGATCTAATGAGTTCTTAAGAGCTTTATAATCATATACCGAAACTAAATCTTTGATTATTAAACTTCATTTTATACTTCCTAAAGTTTGTATATTTTATAAAATATATTTGGATACGACTTGATTTAAAATGCAATCTAGACTAATTTATTCAGATAGAAAACTAATTAAATAATAAAATAAAAATAAAAATAAAAAATAATTACATTATCATAATGAAAATCAAATGATAAAATTAAAAGTAAAAATAGTAAAAATAGGCACATAAATATAACAAATAAATAATAAAACAGTTAAGTCCATAACTATATATAATAACAATTAAATAATAAAATTTAAAAAAACATACTTTAAAAATAAAATTAAAAAAAAAAACAATAAATTAATAATTTATTAAATTAAATTTATTATGATTAAGTTTGTCGGAATATATTTAATAAGTTTTATTTGTCGTTCTTATTTGTATATCAGCGCTGATTTTACTTCAGACTATGAACATATATACTCCTATTCGCCTGCTTTGAATTTTTATTTAAAAATAAAAAATTACCAATTATTTTTTATTAGTTTTATAGCTTAAAAAATTAGTAATAAAAATTAAATTCTCAGCTTATGCTGGACGTTAAAAATAGATTTAAAAAGCAACATTGGAAATCCTATACAAAGTATAACTGAAAGTTTATAGCAATTTATAGCACATATTCTAACTGGCTAACTGTTGAGTAAATATAGAACATATTTAGTATATATATAGTAAACTTGACATAAATGATTTCATTATAATTCATTGTAATCGCTCCAAATCGAATGAGATAAGACTGACATTATCAAAGTACATGGGATGGATGAAGTCAGATGGGAATGTGGGTCAAGCCATGCAACAGAAATCAAATTGGACAAGTACTTTTTTTGACTATAATGAGAGTGGGATGGAGCAAATGGGGTCTGGCCAACACTGTCACCGCCACCACCAGAAGAGCAACAGCACAGTGAGTGCTGATTATGCATTTCCACCCTCAACACAGGCGCCACAGGCAAACAAGCCTATGCGTGACATCATGACATTCGCTCGCCCCACAACTAGAAAACAGTTGCATTTGTTGTTCAGCAGAAAAAAATAAAGAACAAAATGTCAAAAAAAAAACGGTATAAAATAAAATTAAATTAGATACAGAAAGTAAAAGCATAAGCCCCAAGCCCTCTTTGGGGTTGCCCGCTCGCCGCTCGTCGTTCGCTCTGGAAGCTCGCGCTCGCAGCGCAACGCCAGCGAAAGGTCTTTGAACTCTACGGCCTGTAAATGGGTCATACAAGAAATTTTTGTGTGTGTTTTGAGTACTTCCCAAAATTTTCCCTGGTGTCCATTTTTGGTGGTGGGTGGCGTTGCTTGTGCCCGCTCGCGTCTCTTTTCCAAAGCCAAATCAAAATCAATTTCAATTGCATTGCGTAGTCGCTTGGAGTTTGCGCATTTTTAACAGCTGATTTCAACAGTTGACGCGACGGAGCGTCGACTGCGAGCGGCAGAGAGGGGAACAATTTGAGTGCATTTCGTGCGCAAGTTTGGATTAGACTAGGCAGTTGAGTTGGGAAATTTTGTATTGATGTAAGCGAGTGAGCAGAACAAAGAGCAAATGAAATGGGATATTTTCGTTTTGTAAAATGTGTTACGTTAATTAGAAACAAAATTATTTAAATATGTAAAGCATAAGCAAATTATAACAAATGGTTTTATAGATTTATTAATGTGTGCTTGTATTTATGCAAATATTTAACTATTTTAAAGCTATATAGAAGTGAATGACTCAACAAATAAGTTTGGCTTAGGCAGGAATAATCTTCACTTTATGTTTTTAAATTAAAAAATAAATATTTCATACCAATATCTATATATATCTAAATTTGATTTGAATAATTTTATTTGGCTTCATTTATACAATAGATTTATTTTTTGATGATGTTATTTATGGGTTAAAAACTTTCTAAATAAAAAATTAACTTTTATCTTCCCTAACTACATTTAATTAACAATTTGTACAAAATTCCTTAAGCTAAATCTAGATTAAAGTTAAATTGAGTTATAGAAAATGCTTATAATTAATTGATAATATTACTCAAAATCCTTCTCTTTATATTTAATTAATATTAAGTTGAAACCAAACCTTATAACATTATTCAATACATAAACCCTTCGCTAACATCACTTAGCTACAACAAAATTGCCCACAAAAATGAATATGCCCGCAAAGCATTTTAAATTTCCCTCGAAAATTCCACGCAACATAATTTCCCTACGCATGCGACTTACACTCAAATGTCTTGCACTCAAATGTGATAAAACGCTCAGCGAGAATTTCCCAGCAATTGGACATTTTGTGGAATGACATAACCGAAAATTGTGTTTTTTTTGTTGGGCTTAAGCGTGTGAGCGAGGGAGCGTGCGTATGTATGTGTATGCAATGTTGTGTGTGTGAGTTTGTTGTTGCCGTCGTCTGTTTGTTATACACAAGTGCAGCTCTCTGTGTGGGCCAGTGACCTCAAGTAACGGTATCCATAGTATTAGATAAGTTCGTGAACATGTGCGAGGCATTTGCGCGTTCCTCTTTGCTCTCCTTCTTTTTTTTTGGTTCTGTGTTATGCTCTTTATTGTTTTTGGGTTCTCTGCCCGCAGCATTTATAGCTCAACTATAATTTTGAGGGAGCTGGCGGGGGCGTACACAACAATAATTTGTTGGGGGCGATCGTGTTTTTGGGGAAGCTTTTTACCATATTTTCGATGTGGGATCACATTTATTTTGTGGGGCTGCAG